TCTCCTGCTCTGCCTCAGCCAGAGCTTCCCGGGCCCGATCCAGCTCCTCCGGCTCCGGCCGCATCCGCAGCTGCTCCTCCAGCTCCTCCACCTGCGGGATGGGGGATCCCGGGAGCTGCGGGGACCCCCGGGCCGGCCCTGCCGGGGCGAGGATGTGCCACAGCCCCACAGATCGGCCCCTTGGCAGGAACTTTAGGCGGCTTTTAGGACAAATCCCGCTGGGTGATGGAGCACTCCCAGTGTGTGGGGCAGCCCCATTGTGGGACCTGAAATGCACTGGTGGAAATCCATGGAAGAACCTCTCCAGGGTGGGCACAGGGAGCGGGGATGGAGGGGTCTGATCCCAGTCCCAGCCGGTTCCCGCACCCAGCGGACCCACCCCCGGCCCCAGGGCCGAGCTGGGACCCGGCCCTGCTCCTCACACCATGTGCTCCCACCGCCGGGGACAGCCCCTCACCCACGGGGACAGGCTCCCACCCCCAGGAACAGCCCCCCACCCCCGGGGACAGCCCCTCACCCGCTGCCGCTGCTCCTGCCTGGTCTCCTCCAGCTCCCGGCTGAGCCGTCCCAGCTCCTGCAGCGCGGCCACCACCCGGGCATCGGGCCCGTCCCGCAGCAGGATCGAGCTCTGCCTGTTCGCCTCCTTCTGCTGCACCAGCATCTGCCCGCGGGGCCGGTTCAGCGAGGGACCGACCCCCCCGGGGCCACCGAAATGCGCTTTGGGGGCACTGGGGACAAACCCCACCCGGCCCCGTGCCAGGGTGGGTGCCCGGGAGAATCCCACCCAGCCCGGGATCCAGCGGGGTGGGACGAGCACCGGGGTGCCGAGGGATGCTGAGACAAGCACCCCCCCCCCCCCGCCCTCCCACCCCCCCGGGGGTGCCCCCCGCCCCCAGCACCGCCCGGGCTCTGCGGGCACCTCGTGGGCGAAGGCTTCGGCGTGGAGCCGCAGGTCCTGCTCCAGCTCCAGCTGCTCCAGCGCCTCCCAGTAATCCTGGGTGACGATCTGGGACACTGCCGGCGACAGCGGGGGTCGGGGGGGGGCGGGACCAGCACGAGGTGACACCTCGGCACAGCTCCCCCCCCCCCGCGGGTGGGACACCCCCTCCCCGGCCATCCCCCCGCAGCTCCCGGCCTTTGGCTGCACCAGTTCGCCGGACGGGGCGGCACTGGGGGCACTGGGAGCTGCCAGGGGCTGGGCAGAGACCGTGGGCACCCCGCTCACCTCTCTTGAAGGACCTCAGTGCCCGCTGGCTGGTGCCCAGGGCCGCCCGCAGGCGCTGCCGCTCCTCCTGCTCCAGCTCCAGCTGTGCCGGGACAAGCCCCCCCCCTCAGCCCCGGGTTCACTGGGGGGTCCCACCGTGCCCAGCCCACCCCCCCCGGGACATCAGGGGCTGTAGAGGGGGGGTCTTCCCTCCCAAACCCCTGCCCTGAGCTCAGCGAGGAGCCCCGGGGATGAGGAGGGGACAGGGAAGGAGGAGGAGGAGGGGGGTCCTGCCCGGCCGGGGGTCCCGGGGGGTACCTGGGCCTGCAGGTGCTGGTTCTGCCTCTGCAGCTCCCGGACCTGCCCCGTGAGCTCCTCCTGCTGCTCCAGGAGCCGGGAGAGCCGCTCCTGCGGGTCTGGGAGCAAAGGGGGGCGCGAGGGATGGGAAAGGGGGGAGCGAGGGGTGGACTCAGTCCCCAGGTCACCCCTGTCCCTGCCGTGTCACCAGGGGCCCTGCTGGAAGCTGGATCTGGGAGGTGACCCGGAGGGAAGGGCATTTGGCAACGGGGGTGAGACCCTCGGGACCCCCGGGGTCGTGCTCAGCACCCCGAACACCCCAAGGGTGACCCCAAGGGTGACCCCAAGTGTGACCCCAAAGGTGAGCCCAGGGGTGGAGTCCGAGGATCTCCCGCACACGGAGGGTTTGGAGGGAACGGGGTGACCCCGGGGCTCCCTCCCCGCAGAAGGGCACCTCTCCCAGGGGTGCAGCCCCTCGAGGGGTGCTCCCCCAGCCCCCCCCCGGCTCCCGCAGGCTGCGAACAGCCGGAATCGCTGACGCGGGAAAACGGGATGGGAAAGGGGAAGCGGGAGGAGCTGCGCTTTCCCTTCGCCGTTCGCGGCTCGTTTCGGTGTCGCCTTCGCCGGGTTTAACCCCGGACGGGGCTCAGGCACAGCCCGAACGGCGGCGCCGGGCCGAGCCGGGCTTAGGGGACCCCTGGGGACGGGATGGGATGGAATGGGATGGGATGAGATGGGATGGGCTGGGCCGGGACCCCCCCCGGCTCACCTGGGAGCTGCTGCCCAGAGCGCGGGGCAGGGTCGGGGTCCTCCTCCGCGGTCACCCCCTCGGGTGTCCTCCCCTCGGGTGTCCGGACAGGGCTGAGCCACCCCGGCCGCGCCTTCTCCTGCTGCCCCTGAGGGGGGAGAGAGATCCCCCATCAGAGGGTCGGGGTTCCCACCGCACCCCCCGAGCCGGCCGCGCCGGGGGGATGCTCTGGCACCCCTGTCCCTGCCAGGGGAGGGTGGTGGGGTGGCTGCCCCCCCTTACCTGTGCCGCGAAGGCCTGGACTCGCTGCCGGCACAGCCGCTCCAGCTCCACCTCCGCCTCCAGCGCCTCCAGCTCTGCCAGCAGTGCCTGCGATGCTGCCGGGGGGCACACGGGGGTTCAGGTGCCCGCCAGGCCCCCAGCGCGGGTCCTGCCCACGGCCACCCACGCCCAGTGGCTGGCAGAGCCCAGCCGGGTCACCCAGGAGCAGGGCTGGCACCAGGCTCTGTGTCAGGGCAGGGATTTTCCCGCTGGCATCGTCACTGACAGGGCCTGTGAGGGGCTGCAGCTGCCCCGAGACCCCTACAGGGATGTGCCGGGGGGGGAGCGGGGGGGGGAGGGGGGGGGGGGACGGGGGGGGGGGACGGGGGGGGGGGACACGGGGGTGGGACAGGGCTCACCTTCCTCGAGCTGTGCCAGCCGCCCCTCGGCATCGCCCAGCTCCGGGCCGAGGAGTGGGTGCAGCTGGGGGAGAAACGGGCATGAGGAGCCAGGTTGACACAGCATTCCACTGGCACAGCATTCCATTGGCTTAGCTTGGTGCTGGCAGGGTATTGCATTGGCACAGCACAGCTTTGGCATGGCACGGAAAGGACATGGCATGGCGTGGCACCGGGGTGGAATTCCGTTGGCACAGCACGGATTGGCAGGGCACTGTTTTGGCATGGCATTGGCACAGCATTCCATTGGCATGGCATCAGCATGGCCCTGCTTTGGTGTGGCACGGCATTGGCACAGCATTCCACTGGCACGGCATTCCATTTGCATGGCCTCGTGTTGGCACCAGCATTCCACTGGCACAGCATTCCATTTGCATGGCCTCGTGTTGGCACAGCATTCCGCTGGCGGGGCATTGCATTGGCAGAGCAGGGAACGGAGTTGGTGAGACGTTCCACTGGCACGGCATTCCATTGGCGTTCCATTGGCATTCCATTGGCATTCCATTGCCACGGGGCACTGCCAGGTCCCGGTGAGACGCTGCCAGCGCTGGGGATGCTGTGCCTGTGCCACCCCCAGCCTCAGCCCCCGGAGCCGGGACACCCAGCCGGGATGGGGGGGGGACACGGGGGGCACCCGCCCTTCACCCTCCCCGAGTTCCGGGGGCGGGAGGGGGAAATCCGATGGAAAGCGATTCTGGAAGCGATACCTGTCCCGTAGCTGTCTCTGCATCCTCCTCTTCTTCCTCCTCCTCCTCCTCCTCCTCGCTGCTCCCGGACTCCAGGATGGCTGCAGGGAACCGACGCGGGGGGTGTGAGGAGACACGGGGGGCCAGGGGGGTGACACGGGGGGGTGGCCGGTCCCCGGCAGCCCCGGGTGTGCCCGCGGGGCGCTGGGGTGAAGGGTCTGGGGGGGGGGATGCTGTGAGACCCCCACACGTACCGGGGGAAACGGCCCTGGGGACAGTCCCGGGGGGCCGGGGGTCCCCGATGCTGGGCCTGGGGACAGCTCTTGTCCCCAAGTGCTCCGGGGGTCCTCGTGGCGTGGGGGGGGGGTTTGGGAGGGGCTATTTACCCGGCTCCCCCCGGGCAGCTCCCGGAGGGGCTGAGGTGCATCCCAGCCTCCCACCCTTCCCGGAATCCCTAATCCGGTGGGGCGTGAGCTCTGGAATCTAAATCCCACCTGCCTCCCTCACTTCCTCCCCCCCACCCCCACTTTGTAATCCACCCCCCTCCCCACCCCGGACCTTACACCCCCCGTGGGACCCGCGGTGCTGTGAGTGAAGACCCCCAGGACCCTCCGCCGGGGAGAGAAAATCCCCCTCCAGCCCCAGTTCTTGGCTGGTTTCACTCCCTGCAAACCCTCTCCCAGGGGAGAGAACTGGGAACCCTCTGGTGCCCGGAGGCCACGGTGGCGGCCACAGGGGACAGACAGGCAGACAGACAGACAGACAGAGCCCCCGGCCATGCCTGAGCCCCCCCAGATCCCCTGGAGCCGAACCTTACCTGCGAGGGGCCCCCCCAGCCCTTGCCCAGCCCCGGCCATGGTGGGGGCTGCGGCCCCGGCCCCACAGAGCGGGGGGAGCTGCCCCTGCCCCGGCTCTGCCTCGTCCTCCCGCTGCTGCAGGGAAGTGAAACCACCCCCTGGCCCCCCCCCGGGAGGGGGGGCCCCGATCCGGGCAGGGGGGAACCGAAACCTGCCCCGCCCCGGCCGCGGGTGCTCGGGCTGGGGAGGTGCTGGGGACCCTGCCCGGGGAGCTCTGAGGGACCCCCCTGCCCCCCATGGCATGGGAACTCCCCAAAATATGGAAATGGGGTGTTTTGAGGAGGTGCAGCTCAGTGGGGGGATGTGTGTGGCTGCCTGTACCTCTGCCTGTACCTCTGCCTGTATTGGGCAGCATGGACTGGGCAGGGGCTGCTGCTCCACAGAGCCCCTGGGGGTCTCCAGGGATCTCCAGGGGTCTCCAGGGATCTCCAGGGGTCCCTGGGGGTGGGAAGGGCAGGGCCACAGCAGGGAGCAGCAGAGCACAGGGATTTGGTGACCACAGCGCTTTATTCCCCAAGGAAAGGAGATTCCTCCCGGTTCCAGGACACCCCCCGTGCCCACCCGGCAGCCAGGCCCTGGCAGCCCCTCCAGGGGCCCTCGGGTGGTCTGTGGGGATCCGGCGGGGGGGGTCACAGGGCCGTTCCCACTGGGCCCTGCTCGGGTGCCTTGGCCTCGCGGGGGTAGAACTCGGCCAGGATGTTCTCCGGGATCCGCTTGAGCAGCTGCTTGGGGAAGATGCGCAGGAGCTGCCAGCCCAGGTCCAGGGACTCAAAGATGCTCCGGTTCTCGTAGGGGCCTTGGGAAGGGAAGGGAGGTGCAGGAGCCGGGGGATGCTGCGGGGCCGCCCCAGGCCCCCCGTGTGGGGCCCCCCCCAGCCCCCAGCCCCCCGCGTGGGGCCCCCCCGCTCACCCTGGGAGATGAACTGCTTCTCGAACTTGTGCAGGAACTCCAGGTACAGCAGGTCGTCGGCAGACAGAGCCTCCTCCCCCACCACCGCCTTCATGGCCTGCACGTCCTTCCCGATGGCGTAGCAGGCGTACTGGGAGGGACACGGGATACAGGGAATGGGGGGGCTTGGGAGAGGTCTCAGAGCCCACCCAGGGACACCTTCCACCAGCCCAGGTTGGCCTTGGACACTTCCAGGGATCCAGGGGCAGCCACAGCTTCTCTGCCCAACCTGGGCCAGGCTCTTCCCTCACAGGGAAGGATTCCTTCCCAATTCAAATCTCCCCTCTTCCATTTAGAAGCCATTCCCTGTGTCCCGTCCCTCCCTCCCTTGTCCCCAGTCCCTCTCCAGCTCTCCTGGAGCCCCTTCAGGCCCTGCAAGGGGCTCTCAGCTCTCCCTGGAGCCTTCTCTTCTCCAGGGGAACCCCCCCAGCTCTCCCAGCCTGGCTCCAGAGCAGAGGGGCTCCAGCCCTGGCAGCAGCTCCGGGGCCTCCTCTGGACTCCCTGCAGCAGCTCCACGTCCTCGTGCTGTTGTTCCCCAGGGCTGGAGCAGCTCTGAACCCCCCCAGGCAGGGGCAGAGGGCTCTGAAGGGACAAACCACCCCCCTCCCCAGTGTCCCCCAGCCCTCACCAGCTGGTTGGAGACGTCCCCGTGGTCCTTCCTGGTCATTCCCTCCCCGATGGCCGATTTCATCAGCCGGGACAGGGACGGCAGGACGTTGATGGGGGGGTAGATCTGTGGGGCGAGAGGGACCCCCATGTGTCCAGCACCCACCCCCTGCCCTGGCCACCCCCATCCCGGTGCTCCAGGGTGGTCTCCGGGCCCCCCAATCCCTCCCTGGAGCCGGGAAGGGGCTCGGGAACGAACCTGCCGGTTGTGGAGCTGCCGGTCCACGTAGATCTGCCCCTCGGTGATGAAACCCGTCAGGTCGGGGATGGGGTGGGTGATGTCTGGGGGGGGAACCGGGGTGCTGTGAGCCCCCCACGTGGGGGTGGCTGCTCGGGACACGGCCATGCCCCGTGTCGGGGGGTCACCGGGGCAGCACGGCCCCCATGGGGCTGGTACGGGGGGTCTCGGTGCCACCCCCCTTCCCAGGAGCCGGGCACCCCAAGGGGAACTGATGAAGGGTGGCTTGGATGGTTTGTGTCCCCTCTGGGGACACCCTTCTCCCGCTGGGGGGGCCCAGAGGGATGATTTGGGGGGGGATGATAACCCCAAAGCACCCCAGCGAGCACCCAGGGCTTTACCACCCCATGAGCTCCCAAAAACCGGGTTGGAACAATCCAGCATTTCCCACCCCCGTGCTTTCCTGGCACGGGGCAGGCCCGGCCCCGCCGCATCCCCTGAGTCCCCCCCGTGACCCCAGAGCCCCCCCCGTGTCCCCAGAGCCCCCCCCGTGCCCCGCTGACCGTCGTTGGGCATGGTGAGGATGGGGATCTGGGTGATGGAGCCGTTCCTGCCCTCCACCCGCCCCGCCCGCTCGTAGATGGTGGCCAGGTCCGTGTACATGTAGCCCGGGAAGCCGCGCCGGCCGGGAACCTCCTCCCGGGCCGCCGACACCTGCAGGGGGGGCTGCGCTGGGGCCGGGGGGGCTCCGGCGCCCCAAAAACCCCGAGAACGCCGGGGGGCACCGGTGCCACAAGTGCCCCGGGCACCCCCAGCGACCTGAGCGCCCCGAGCACCCCAAGAGCCCTGGGAACCCCACGTGCCCTGGGCATCCCAGGAGTCCTGGGAACCCCATGTGTCCTGGGCACCCCGAGCATCCCAAACACCCCAAGAGCCCTGGGAACCCCAGATATCCTGGGCATCCCAAGAGCCCTGGGCACCCCACGTGTCCTGGGCACGCTGAGCATCCCAAACACCCCAAGAACCCCAGATGTCCTGGGCACCCCAGGCACTCCGAGCACCCTGGATACCCTGAGCACCCCTGGCACCCAAAAATCTCCTGGGCACCCCTGGTGGGTTGGGCACCC